TCGTAATTCAAAGGAAAAGAAACGTAACAACGCTCGTTCCGTGCATTAACACCGGGACTCTTAATTTATTAGCCGTATAAAATAAAGTCAGATCGATACGAGGCGCGAAATCTACGCGAGAAATATACGAGATCGTATCGCGTGCGCTCGCAAAACGAGAATTCGCGTGAGCGGTTCGCACGAGAGAAAGAGAGAGAGACAGAAAGAGAGGAGAGAGAACGTTCCTGCACACCCGATATCGACCTTTAACGTCGCCTTATCTGTTACCCGCGATTTAAACAGTGACCTAACGATTCAACTTCTTCGAAGCCCACACGGCTACGTGTTTAACGTCATTATCGAGTTTCGTCTTTGAATACGCGTGATAACTGCACGAGGTAATGAAAATTGGGATGTAAGGCTTAGAAGAGAGACAATCACAACGTACGTATGATGAAAACGAATTACGAATGATCGAAGAATGATTGCGATTTCATATGAAATTTCTTAAAACTACCTCTTTTAGATGTTTAATTTACACTAATGAAAAATTCCTAATCTTTCTCCTCTACTTTTCAATACGTATCTTTCAATATCTCGAACGGTACACATTTCGGATTAAACGCATTAGCATTATCCTTTCCTTAACTTGCGAATTACACGGGTGCAAAAACTCGTGGATAGAAGGGGAAGAGAATCGCATTAGCCAATTCGTGGAAAGGCACGCAACAACAACGCAGAATCGCCTTCTTCTTCGCGTGATTTCTATGCAGATGCGGCGAGCGTCGAAAGCGCACGACGGCCGCCCCCTCGGCAAAATGAAAAAGGAAAGATAGGGAAGGGGGTGGAAGCGTTGTTGGCCGGGACAAACGAAGAGCTCGAGGAAGAAGGGTTTAAAGGAGATAGCCGGTAAAGATCTTGGCGTAGGACAAGCGAATAATGTATAGCCTTGGTGGCGGTATCCGGCTGCGCCATCTCCGCTCTCTCCGCGCCGCTTTCGCGCGACAATCTTTTCTCACTTTGGCGAAGAAGCCATCTTTCAACTTATGGAAATTCTCTGGGACCCGGGATCCCAAACTTTCCAACTGCCGCCGCTGTTGCTGATGTCGTTGCTAACGCGTTGCTACACGCGACCGGGGGGTATATACGTATCGAAACAGGAGGACGACGAACGAGGAGGAGGAGGAGGAGGAAGGGGGGACGACAAAGCCGTGTGTCGGGGCCGATCCTTCTTTTTCTTCTGCGAATCTCTTTTACAGGGTTTAGACCGGTGACGTAACGATGTTGCAAAACGGGACATTTGTGTTCTTGAGGAAGTTTGCGCTTTTGGGTCCGATCGTTGAACCGTTTCTCGAATAAATAAAATATCACGTGCGAAGGTTCGTCATCATCGCCTCGTCATCTAATAGCCTTCTATAAAATATCGTTGAGAATGGATTTTAACGTGCATGCGAATTCCGCTGGCCAATCGTGCAATTAATTTAACGAGGAACACTATTGCGTAAACAATAATTAATTAATTGTCGATGCGTTAATTAGTTGTCGTTGAAATAGTTTTGTTAATTTCTAGTATTAATTATTAATTAATTTTCGAGTGAACGATCGTTTCGATATTTATCGATAGACGATAGATAGATCGATATATGAGTGATTCCTCCACCGATAAATCGAGATTTTTCGTAATTCGTTCGTAAAAGCAACGAAAATTTCCCCCTTTCATTTATTAAAACCAAAATGAACGATCTTCCTGCCAAGCAAGCAAGATCTTTTTACGCTTTAAAATCACGATATCCATCTGATTTTCCGTAATTTTTGCCAACACCGATTTCTCTTTTGCATTCAAAGCATTTTCGATGCGAAACGCCGCCGGTCACGGAAAAGCTGGATAAAGGTACGGAGTGGAAACAGATTGCGCGGAGGGAGAAATAAAAAAAAAAATTTGATATGAACGACGAGACCCTCGCGTTACCCATGCAACGCAGTGTGAACAAACATTAAAAAAAAAAAAAAAAAAAAAAAAAATGATAAAAAAAATATATCTCTCTCTTTTGAATCGTTCTGAATTAATAGAACGTTGATACGAAGAAAAAGAGATATCAAAAAACGAAACTCCACTGGACGTCATTTCCATATATCGTTGGGGTGTATAATTTCTCGAACTTGAAATTAATATTTTCAAACACGTTAAAACATCGCACATCGCGTTTCTCTGTATTTTTCATTCAGAGCAAGATGGCGAACGAAAATCTCGTTCCCTTTCATAAAAGCGATATATCTCTCCCTTTTATGCACGTTGCCACACATGTGTATCATCACGTAACCGTCAAGATTATAGCATAAAAAACGAACCGGTGCGCCTTTTATTTCTCATCATTTCCGCGTAATATTTTTTTTTATCGCGAATCCACCACCAGCTTCGTATAAATAGAGGTCGAGGAGGATGATATCTTCGCTCGAGATTTACAGACATCCGTGATATCGCGACGAGTGGAAGGACTTTTCACCGACCAATGGACCCCGTGAAAAGAGTTTCATTCAAACTTTTCTTATTTTCGACTACGGATCCGCTACACGACAATGCTCTTAAATTCTCGGTCTTGCTTGGATATGGCCATTATACTTGGGGCGTTTTATAAGAACCGTTTGACCGGTAACCGTGGAAATTAGGTCATTCGTACTACGTCTTCGTCTTCGACGAATATCGAGAGATGTGTAAATTTCGCACGACGAAGGTTCATTACGAAGTTTCGTAAAAGTTTTAGTTATAGGAGCGTCGTAGAGATTGTATTATAAAAATTGTCGAGTATCGCGGTTTATGAAATATAACAGGGAACTTGATTAACCGGTTTAATAATAGAACTAATCAAACTCGTAAAAATACTGGATTTTGTGTTTCCTGTTTTTTTTTTTCTAATCTCTATAAAAATATGCGAATATACTTTCGACCGATCCGACTATTAAAATAAATCATTTCGTTTTATAAAAGTCAAGTGCTAATCATAATTTTGGTAACAAAAATTTTATGATTAGTATCGCTTTATAGAAATGAAAGAATTAACCTTAATTCTTTTTATATATAATTTATTTTATAAAAATAAAATGAACTTCATACATACCACGATAGACGATATTTTAACAATATAATTACAGTCAAACAAATTTATTCGCATATTTCATTTTATTAATTTTGCACTTGCGAATGCTCTGTCACGCGATCGTTCGTGTCTTACGACTCTGTTTGTATTATTTTACGAAAGGAACTCTTGTTAATCGAGATCATTCATAATCATGATTCGGTTAATCAAAGTCCTACAGTTGTAAATTAAAATAGGATATTGTATATTTAAGCAAGATCGATAAGATTGTAAAATTAATCGTGTTATTAATTGTAAAATTAATATGTTATCTCTAAATCTATGAATTATCGCGAAAATTGCATCAGTTTCCAAAAATTTACGAGCTATAATGAAAATTTAAAAGTTTGCAAATTTATCTACACGTTATTCGAAATACGTATTCGGCCACGAGATGAATCGTGAGTTCCCGGAATTCGGAATCACAGTTTTTAAAAGTTTTCTCGACTGTTACGAAATTTCGTTCTGGTCACGCGGTTCACACAAAGCGAAACGGACTATTTTCCACGGTATCAAGATAAACATTCGCAGTTGTTGCTTAGAAAAGCTTGATTGTGGAAATTCGAATTGCAAAAAACGGGAGAATATTGCCGGAACGTCGAACTGGGTTCTATATTGCGTACGCAACCGAAAACTGTATATACACGCAAGTTAAGCGTTCGAATTCGTGAATGTTAAATTTTGAGAGAACATTCGAACTCTTAGAATTGCGAGAAATCTTTTCGAAATTGAAAAATTAAATATATGAAAATTCATGAATATTCGAATACGAATGATTTTAAAATAGCAAAACATTATAGGTTAACATATAACATAAATGTGTTTTCAATTATTTTGTTAAAGTAAAGAAATGAAAAATAAAATAATATGCATATTTATGAATGTAATAAAAATATTCTTGAGTTAATATAAGTTTTATTCTTCCGTCTCTTTTCCACTTTTCATTTCAATTTATCAACCGCGATCGAATTGAAATTTTGTAACATATTTTCTAATTATACAATATTGATCTTTTAAAAAGACGAAAACAATGTATGTTCGCGAAAAGGAATACACGGACGAGACGTAGAAGAATGTTGACGGACATAAATATTGAACGTGTAAGCCGATAAAACAGACTGACAAGTTGACGAGAGTGAATGAGATCGATCTTTTTTGATTTCGTGGCTCTACGATCGAACGAAACGAATTAAATATTCGTACTTTCGTTATTTTTATTACCGATGATAATAATAAAAAATAACGAAAAACGAACGAAACATATTAGAATAATTATATTTTATCAAATTTTTATGTTTGTCTTTTTACTAATAAATATCTTGAAAATGATATTTATTATCTAAAAAAGAAATACAATATTAACTTATTTTCTATGTAATCGTAACTTTAAAACATGATTTGATCACAAATTGTTACTCGATCGATTCCAATCTTTTACGTATGTATCACGATAAAATGACTTTCTCGATAATCTACATAAGGCAGCCATCTTTTCCTCTTTTATGACTCTTTTTGGCGCGTAAATGTCGCTCACTCGATGTGTGATAGCATCTATGGTCAAAGCTTCAGACGATCAAGCAAAGAGCATAGATAAAAGGGAACGCGAGAAGATACGATTGACTATCTCTAAAGGGTTTTCTATTCCGAAGCAAACAGTATAAAGCATTGCATTCGAAACGTAAGTGGACGACCGATCGACATCGATGTTGTCAAAGAGATTTTTCTGCAAAGATCTCTCGAACTATTTCTACAGTGTACCGATCTTATCGGCCGCGGAACTGAGTAAAGTTAGGCACAAGTGTGCCCAGTTGACACAAAAAACGAAGCAAAGATGGAAGCGAAGAAAGGAAGATAGAAAGAATCGAAAAAGAAATGGATAAAACTTACCACTCGGTGAACGAAGTACTCTGAAGTTGCTGCCAGTTTTAATAGTCGAGCTTCTCGAGAGAAGTACAAGTGGCAGGAAGAATTTTACCAAGGTATCTTGACCGGTAAAAAAAAGGATAAAAAAAGGCTTCTTCTCTTCTTTTTCACTTTTCGCCTTGTTTACACACTTCTGTCACTCTCACTCACTAAATCACGAACGAGAAACCGTTTGAGTGTGGTCCGAATTTCACCGTTTATCCGACTGTAACGCGAATGTAACGCGATCAACGACAAACTGCGCACAATAACGGTAAGAGCACGACAAACGTTCAGTTTTAAAGTTTACACTAAATTGCCCGCAGGGAAAGTTTTTCTTTCACTGTTCCAAGAAAGCCTTCGTTTTTTGTTTGTTTATTATCTGCGTATTCGCGTAACGGTCTCGTAAATACGTCCAGACACGACAGTTTTGTGTACGCTGTCACGGTTATATTAGTTTATCGGTAGGGATCAGCTACACTTATGACTCACGTTGTACAATTTCGTCACACGCGATTAACTTCACTGTAGTTCCAACGATATGTTCGCATGCTTCGAAAATTTCGTTCACCAAGAAAATATCACTCTTCTCTCTTCGAAAATAACACGTTGATAGCGAACACGTTGCTCTCCGTGTTAAACTGTACGAAAATCGAGTCGAAAATTGTCGAGCCACCGTCCGATAACTAACGTACGAAATATAATACGAAACGGCGCGCGAGTCGACCGTACGGTACGGCGCTCGCCTGTAAACTAAACACCCGTCGCGACCTGAGGCCGGGACCCGACTGGTTTCTGCTAGGGAATCTCCCCACTCCTCGCCACTCTTCTCGCGCGACCCTAGGCACACCAACCCCTTGTCCAGCTTTCTCTCTCTTTCTCTCTCTCTCTCTCTTTACCTCCCTCGCACCTCTTTCACTCTCATACCCCCTCGTCGTCCTTTTGCCCTTACTCTCACCCTACCACGCTTCATTTCTTTTTCTCTCTCCCTCCATCCATCCTTTTCCTCACTATTCCACGTTCCAACTGCCTAACGCCGACCCTTCACGTACGACCGAACGACCACCCGTTTCTTCGGTATATACCCTCGTACCTCTTCCTCAATACTTCTTTCTTCATCTTTCTCGCATTCTCTCGCTCTTGCACTCGGTCTCTCTCTTCTTCTTTCCTTCTTCCCCTCCTCCCACACTGCATCTTTCTTTCCCGTCCCGCGTTCTCACTTTTTCCCGACACCGCGTCTTAGCTCCACTCTTTTCCAAGGACTTTCCGGATCTCGTTCCCGTCAGTCGCCGCTCTTTCAGAAATATTTCGGCGCTGATACAACCCGCCGCGCATGTACACGCGATTCGACTCGACTCAGGGTCCGCTTTTCCAACGAGCGGCCAATCCCCGTGGCACATGCCCGCCACTTTCCAGTCCTTCCATTCTTCTAAGATCTGAAAAAGAATGGTGGTGAAGAGGTGGTAGATGGTGGAGCAGGAAACCGGAGGGCGAGACAAAAAGGAAATGGTGGAGTAGGATAGATCTTTTTATCATAGCTCGCGAAGGATGGATTTGGAAGCAGGCAAGTGCTGCAACCCGGCGAATGTTGTTTCGATTTCTTTGTGTTTCGATGAGATCGATGGCTTGCATAGGATGTTCGTAGGACTCGAATATCGTGCGAAACCTCCTCCTCGAAATCGTTTCGTTCCGTTTAAAACTCGGTAATGAAATAGGTGAAGGGGGTCGGGCAGGAAATCACGGCGCGCCGATTAAAAATAACGCGAAATTTCGCGAATCACGAAGACACTTTTTATCTCGAAACAGTGCCCGTACGAGTGGTGCATGGCCGCGTTTGAAAAGTAATTAACGTTTGACAAAACTGTGTTTCAATTTGTACCGCTGCCCGTTTTAAGTCTGTGTTAAATTGCGATACGATTAAATTCGACGGTGGAAATAAAGTTCGCTTAATTCGTTATACATTACCTTAACATTCGTACTTTTTTTTTTT